AACATAGGGGGCATCAGGGAACCTGAAGTGAGCAGTACAGGAGTCGGCAAGGTAGAATAAGGCTGCTTTTGGTGCAAGCAAAGTGGGCTTCCCATGAGGTGGTTCAGTTTTCAATCAACCCCTCCCGTCTTTTTAACCACCATTCCTAAAGTTACTCATAATAGTCTTGAAGGCTAAGTGTCATAAGGAGAACAGCGTCTAAGCCACCAGATTCTCATTTTCCAATGCCGCATTGAACAAATGAAAGGAAGAACCCGATTGGTTGCTGTGCACCCCGACTGTTCTCCCTTCGGACACCAATCTTCTACACGGGGACAATGACTGAAGCGCAGATCCATCACAACACACAGCGGTGGGTGAGGACAACAAGGGGCCTTAATCTGATCCATCTCTGAAACCTCAGTCTAGTACAGCAAAGGTCTTGGGGTGTGAACCCGTGTCCCCAAAGTCTACTTTTTGCTGTGTCAGGAGATTCCAAAGATTCACTGGACACGCATACACAAGCAAGCGGTGAGCAATGGAGGGACCATAAGTAGATAAATCACTCAATGCGAGACCTCTGGATTGCTTGCCTGGGGCCAGAAGGAGTCATATTAATACCTCTATACTTCATTTCAACCACCAGACCATAAGTTATTAGAATCCTTCTTACAATAGGGACAGTCATCTGTACTGGGAATTTTGATATACCGAGATCTGGTGATGCCACTAAAGGGAACCAGACACGAGTCTTATTCTGTGCTCTCTCAAAGGTGAACATACCAACTTTGCATAGGGCTGCATTAAACCCTAACAATGCACCTCTCCCCGGATACACAAGAACATCCAATGGGGCTTACATTTCCACGTGGATACTAAAGGATGCCATCCTTGGATGATTCAATGACAATATGCTGACAATGGACACCTAGAGAGCCGAGAATAACTCAGTGTAAGTGTAACGCAAGCACGAGAACAAGTCCCTGCTGTGTACAAGTCCCTAGCGATGTCTAATTACCAGCCTCTCAGGAGGGTGTTATCCCAGATCACAAAAAGAGATCTCCCATGATTAAAAGACATGTCCGCTTGAAGATTAAAACTGATGTGGCGTAAGAGAACTGTGCGCAATCTTAACCGAACCCACTTGACGAACCCCAGGGAGAAACCGTCGCACTTCGTTGTCAAGCCAGAAAGCTACAAAAGTGATATTCACGTTAGCGAGTCCCAATAATGAAAAAGGCTAAAGCTGCTTGGAAACCACCGCGTTTGGGACCCGCAATTTGTAACATTCAAGCAGTAAACAGTCTGACTGGAATAGAAGACAGGCAATCGCCTTGTATATAAGACCTGCATGTATGTACATAATACTGCTCAATGTTCTGTGTAGTGGTACTGAATGAGGGGAAGGTCTAGATGGAGACTTCCTACATCCTAAAAATCACCTCCACGGGCTCGGCAGGAATATCACTTTCACAGCTGCCGGTGTTCATGTCTTTCCCTGCACCTTGTACACGGTTATAGAAACGAATGGTCGAATACTTGTTCATGCACATGCAACTTGCAGAAGAGATACAGAACTAAGGACAAGCCACCCCCGGCTCAGCGTGTCGTCATATACTCCAAACAAAGCAAGTCAGGAGGGTAAAGTGGGGATGACAAATAAGACTCCAACCACATCGCCTTCTGCGTTACTTTGTCCAAATGTCCGGCGCTCCAAAATACTGAATGTTCCCTTTCTAGAATGCCCCCCTCCCCGTCCTTGTTCCAGATTACAGTGAACATACCTTGCAATACAAGGAGAGTAAAGACAGGTCAGGTGGTGAAGCCCAACAAGTGGCACTGGTAACCTCTAGCCTCCATATGATAAGAAAGCACAAGTGGTCATAAACTAGTATTTAGGACAATGTGGACCAAGAACTGATAGAAGGGTGCGCGGTTTGATAACCCAATCTTTAATGAGTGAGCATCAACACTGTTTCGGCAAAGAGCCATCTGCCAGGGTCCTTCCTGGATCTTTGGGTTTGCCTTCACTTTTATATGTAGAGGTTCCACAAGATGGGTACATTATTCCCATTTACTCAGAGGGTGGTTATTGAGTGCCAAGCTTTATGGGGGAAGCTAGGGTTGTACAAAGCTTGACCCCTTATCTGTTGGAGCCATGCAGAGATGGAAACATAGTTAAGAATGCTGCTGTGGGTACCCTAAGAACCAGTCTTGTCACTGCTAATTTCTGATAAAAGCTCAGAATGCCAACATCTCTACAGATCCCTAGGCAAAAGTATGGGGGGTATGCTGCTCCCAAGCCCTGAATCAGGTCACCCATATGGATGATCAGGTGCTGAACACCAGCAGGGGCTCGTCCTATGCTCCACACACTGCAGAAACCCAAAGGAAAAGACAAGCTGCAATCATAGATTAAGCCCAGCCTTGTGGGTGAAACGCGTCTCACGGGATCCCAGGCAGGAACTCATATTTTCATATTGTCCTTATAAATAAAGTTACCAGCAATTGATTTTTTTTACCAGATTGCAGCTGGTCTTTTTCTTGTATTTTGTGCAGCCCTTCAGAGCCCTATGGAGGCTAACAAATCTTGAACTGCAAGTCACCCAGCAGCCTTCCCTCTGATTTGGTGGAAATAGTTGAACCCTGGAGGATCTCAAACTATCCCATATTCACAATTCTATGAGATCTGAATCCACATTATGCCAAGTACCTTGATCATGTGAGCTTTCATTACCAGATGGAAAGCAAAAGATTGCCTAACATTGTGCTAGCAAAATTGGCTGAAATTCAGGGTACAATCCCCATAAAGGACACAATGGTCACAACCATACCTCCAAATTTGAGCTAGACCGTGCTCTCTTGCCTACACCTGGTGTTGTATAAAGGTGAAGTATACCTTAAACCCTTTATCGCACCAAGGAGCTCGAAAGAAAATGGGGACCATTATACAAAGCTACGAACCGTTCCAACCTTGAACACCTAAAACTCGACTCTCGCCGAGAATAAGAGACCAACGGAAAATGGTCGCTCCTCTGGACTCGTCAAGACACGGCGGCATTGGGTGCTTATTTTCCATACGCGAGACTCAAATGCAGCTCATTGGTGGGAGAAGGTTTTAAAATAAACCCAGCTATTCAAAAACAAACGCGCGGTTATGCTCAAAGGTTGTATCGTATGTCTTGTTACACATGGGTGGAGCACTCGCCACACCATGTGGTGCCAAGACAAAGCCAACAACTTACTCTTACGGGATACTCAAGGCGCCGATAAATCCATCTACAAACAGGGATCAGCAGTTGTGAAAATTAAAGGTCAAGTTCAGCCAAAACAAATGTCTGTATTATCGGTATGGTTCAGTCCCCCGGAGCTTGATAAGGGTCTCCAGACCTCAGAGAGCGGTTATGCAGACTATTTCCTATACTGCATGGGTCAAAGCCCTATGCTGGGCTCTTATTACTGTTGTAACCCCACCTTTGATGTGGGGGTGGGGAGAGATCTCAGCCACAATCTAGAGGCTTAACAAGGCAGCAGGGGGGGTAAACCATTTTTTTGGGAGGACTTTACCTTTAATTTTGGTTCAACTGTCAATATGCCGATATACTTCCCCTTTAAACATCACGTCCAAGGTAATATGGAAGAGGTCTCCCAGCTCCTATATTCTCCACTCCTTAATTCATAGCTCAGTGGTGCAGCCTCATTTACAACAGGGATCCTGTATTAACCCTATCCCTCCCGCATCCCACCCACCCCTTAACACCAGCAGTAATGGCCCTTTCAATATTTACACGTGCTTGACCCCAACAGGCTCCCTCCCCCCCCCACCCCTCCCTTTACCCCAAAACCCACCCCTTTCTCCCATCCCCTGTCCCCTTTCCCATCTATTCCACCAAAAGCTTCATTTCGCTGGCAAGAAGCTGGTTCATGTTAAAGATGGCTCCCTTGGTCAGAAGCTCCCTCTCCGTGGCAGTGTCAGGATCACTGTCCACAGAGCTAGAACTGGCGCTCATGCTGTCTCCAGCGTCGTGGTGATGAAGTGGAGCAGACACGTCAACTCCTGAGACAGAGGTGCCCCCGGGGAGCTCGGGCTCGCTGGTCTCGCTGGCACTGGACACGACGGAGAGAAGAGACATTCGTCTGGTCAGTCGGCTTGGCAGGAGGGAGATGGCGTAGTCGGCCACCATGGAGGCCACGTCCATGTTGCAGGCTTTGTCGAAGGCGATGAAACCCACGTTGGCGTTTGCCTCGCACACGCAGAAGGAGCCGTCTTCTTTGGTGAGAAGATCAATGCCGCACACATCCATTCCTAGGATGTTAGAGACTTGAATGGCCAGCTGCTTCCCTTGTTCGCTGAGCGTACACATCATTCCGATACCTCCTATTAAATAAAAACACGCGGTGAGGATACAAGGAAAGAAACGGACGAGAATCATTTACTATACAAAAACACAAATACAGCAGAAGATCTCAATTCCAACCGAAGTGCCTCGAGTTCAGCTTTAAAGACACTGCCGCTTCCGGCAAGAAAATACCTGTCAAAAATCCAGTGAGCCAATATCTTTCTGCAGTGAGCTTGCCTCTGCTGCACTGAAATACCAAGCATTGCGATCAACCCTGTCTGAGTTCTCCCCTGCTGGACTACAGAACCCTCCACCCTCTTTCCCCCAGTAGTGGAATACCCGGACAGGAAGTTCTGTGCTGGAGACACTCACTTGATTTTTTGGCAGGATCAACAAGTATTTTCTGTACTTTGTAAGACACAAAACATGTGGTACAGTGCACGTATTACAAATATGCACCAAATGACTTATTATAGCCAGGCATATACCTTACAGGTATATATTAGGGATGCACCGATACTAGTATCGGTGCCGATGCTGAGTATTTGGGCGAGGACTCTTACACACCCAAATGCTCCGATGCCTGGCCCGATACTTCCAGTATCAGAAAGTCGGGCAGCGAGTCATTATGCACCCCCCGGCTTTCTAAGTGGCCAGAAAGCTGGCTTCCTGCTCCCTCGTCGCAAGTGACGAGGGAGCATGGAGCCGGCTTCCTGGCCAATCGGGAAGCCGGGCAACACGTCATTATTATTATTATACAGGATTTATATAGCGCCAATAGTTTGCACAGCGCTTTACTATATAAAGGAAGACATTACAGTCACAATACAATGTAAGACAAGATGGTAAGTACACGGCGCCCAGCTTCCTGATTAGCCAGCTCAATGCTTCCGCGTCAACTGGTGATGAGGGAGCGTGGAGAATGCTTCCCTGCTAATCAGGAAGCCGGGTGGGGAGTCATTACACATTGCCTGGCTTCCTTAATGGGACTTCCGGTATCGGTATTCGATATCAACAAGTACAGGATACAAAATATCAGTACTCGATACCGAAAAACTGGTATCGGTGCATCCAGAGTATGTTTTGTAATCAAAACTTCTCCCATGTGTAATATTGTATACCAATATACCTACAATCTGACCTGAAAATCATTTCAATTTGATCAGATTGGAAATGGACATTTTACAGGAGCAGGAGAGGGGCAATATCTTCTGCTTCGACTCAAATAGTTAAAGCTAAACCCCACCTCTACACATCTATTGGTCTATCACAGAGATTGCCTCACCGGCCCACAAGAATGAGTGGAAGGCAGCAAGGGGTGGGCCAGCCTAATGAGGAAGTGCTGAAGTGTTGCCTGATGAGGACAGCCTCCAATTTGGATGATGCAAAGGATACCAAAAGCTGCTACAGGCATGTGTAGGCACCTCAGCACTTAAAGTGACAGTCTCTTTAAAGGTATCCAAGCAAAGGAGGTGCTGACATTAGATAAACTCTAAAGCCATGCCAGATAACAAGAGACAAGCTTGGCTTAGGTTTACCTGTAAGTAAATACTGTCAACACTGCTAAATGAGCCTGTATGTTATTGCGCTCACTGTACTCCGCCCACACTCACCTAGAGAGCAGTTGCTTTGCATCCTCCCGTCCGTAGAACACCTCAGCATGGTACCGATGACGCGGCCGCCCACGACGATGACTCGGACGTCCCTTCCGTGAGACTCCTTTACGTATTTCTGGAACAAGTATGGGGCTTCGTGACGGATGAGATGGCTCAGGTCTGCTAAATGGTGCTTGTCCCGGGCTAGAAATACAGCTTTACCTGGAATAGATATACACTGGTTAGGCAAAAAAAAAGTATAAAGTAGAAGAAGAAAAAAAAAAAGAAGTACTGATAGGTGCTCAGGTGTCTAAGAAAGACCGTCATAAAACGAATCATAAGTAGTACTTTTCTGGAAGCCAGGGGCAAATGTCCTGCAAAACAAATCTACTGTACAGGTACAGGGAAGAGCTCTCATTGCTACTGAGTAAAACATCTTATGAACTCCTCTGCATCATTACTCTCAAAGCCCAGACGAAGGGGCAGCATGGAATCCCCCCAAACGTGTTTGGTTTTTACTGAAAGGGAAAATATTTGATGGCCACAATCGGTCTGGCTCTTTCCTCTATACCCGTCGCCTCATTAAGGCAAGAGCCACATATAGCCCCTGTGTTCTGGATGGCAGCCCAAAGTCCTACCCAAGTCAAGGCTTGAAAAGATGGTCAGTGAGATTCAGATAATTCTTTTTGGCAGGAGTAGCATGACCAAATGATTCCGTCTAAATGACTGAATCCCATTTTAAAGGATACTTTGGAGGATTTACGCTTGCGCCAGCAATTTGCTTGTTCTATGGTGGATTTTATTAGGGACGGAGGCTCCTTGTCCGAGCACCGTGGAGTTAACACACTGGGCTGTATATAAGGTGTGTAGCGGCTATACTGGACCTAGCTACACCTTAAAGTGACATTAAACCCTCAGATTATTTTAACATAAAATAGTGTAATGTGCGCCTTACTGTAATCCATGGTAGTTTCCCTTCTCTTTGCTGCTCTTCCTTTTAAATCTGTATCTGTTCTCATGCTAGGGGAGAACTTCTGTTTTGCAGCAGACTGCCTTGTCTCTGAAATGGATACATGGCGTCTGTGTGAAGGTTCACAACCTGAGCCAGCACTACAGGAAGAGGCAGTCAGCTGCAAAGGGAAGTTCTCCACCAGCATGAGAAGACATGAGGATTTAAAAGGAAGAGCAGCAAAGAGAAGGGAAACAACCATGGATTACAGTAAGGCGCACATTACAGTATTGGTTTATGTTAAAAAATCTAAAGGTTTAATGTCACTTTAAGTGTTCCCTCAGGAAAGACATTTCAAGTCTTCTGTAAATGGTTATCCACTATAGAAATTCACTGTCAAGCCAATACCTAGTAATGACGGCTCTACACAGCCCGGACATGAAATGAGACGGTCATACTATACTCACCTCTGTGACCCCGGGTGTTCTTCACCACCATGGGAAACTCCAATACTTCAGCCTCGTCAATCATCTTTGAAAAGTTTTCATGACCACCTTAAAGAATACAAAGTCTTTCATTAAATACAAATCATCATTAGCATAAATGTGTGTTAACGCAACTGGTCTATAAAAAAAAAAGGTCCTAAACACAAAGATTTTACTCAATAAAACATTTCACTATCATTTTAAAAAAATGAATTTGGCGCAACATTTCCTAAATCTGCTAATTTCCTTTTCACTAAACCCAAGGAACAACGGTGCCCTAAAACTGGATTTGCACTGTTAACCTCAAAGGATAAGCACACGTTAAGGCTTCATTCACAGAGCTTTGTCTGCTCTATGGGAGGACGCGGCCGTACGCTCAACCTGTCTGCGTCCGAGCACGGGCACCCGCGCAGCTCAGGTGAGCGTACGGCCGCGTCCTCCCATAGAGCAGACAAGGCTGCAGCGTACAATCACACGCAGCACCTGTCCTTCCCGGGAACGGACCGATACGGCCGTGCACACCGCATGGATCTGTACGGGCCGACTCTAAGCTCTGTGAATGAGGCCTAAAAGAGTGCGCTTATCCTTTTTGTCCCCTTCTGGGGAACATCAGTTATTTCTATTTTGACTAGACATACACTTTCAATGTCCAAGTCATCTGAAGCTGTCAAAATATTACATTTTTTTTCAAATTCAACATTGAATCAAAAATGTTCTGTACACACCACCACTGTACTCAAGTGCTTTTCCTATTATAACACTGCACGCTGACCATGTGACTACAGACACCAGTCAGACAATAGTGGAGGTGGCTGGAATGGATGGATCGGTAATGCCAGGAGGAAAAAGTTAAGATTCTGCAATAACGTTCGCCAAAACCTTTGTGATGTCCACCACTCATCTAAAAAGGATTATGTTTTCATATAAGGAAGGGACAAGGTTATACCGAGCATCCGCAACAAAGCAAACAGACTTACCGTAGGAAAAGGTATCGGGTAGGGGTACACCATGGCCAGCCAGCTCCTGGAAGGTCCAGAACTTATTTACACAGTTGAGAATAGCCTGTGGCCTGTTCATCAGCCGGCAGCCCATCTTCTCCAGATGTCTAAGGACGGTGATGTCACTGTCACTTTGCACCCAAGGCGTAGGCACGCGGACGACCACGACCTGCGGGTAGGATGTAACAAATTCTCCATTCACGCGCAGACCTGCAAAGAAGAAAGAGGAAGTTTAATGAGTGTGTCAAGAACAGAGCTTGCATTAAACATGCTTGGCCTGTGCCTAACAGCAGAGTAGGTTCAGAGATAATATACTGTAGATGTTTGTAGACACTTGAACGTCGCACATCAAACAGCTTGGTACGGTTAGTTGGCTCCCCATTTGGGACTATAACAGACTTCACACTTCTGGTGGAAAGAAAACTTTCCACCAGATTTTGGAGGGGGGAATTTGTACCCATTCAGCCAAAAGCATTTGCCCGGTACGGATGTTGGATGAGAAGACCTGGCTGGCAATCAGCATTTTATCCCAAAAGTGATCAGTAGGGTTCAGAGGTCAAGTTCCTCCACACCAAACTCATCCAACCGTGGTTTTATAGAGCTGGCTTTGTGTAAGGGAGAGCCAAGTCATGGTGGAACAGAAAAGGGCCTTCAAACTGAAAGCGTACAATCGTCTAAAACCACGGTTCCCGATTGGTGGGTCGCGACCCAGTGTTCAGTGGATTGCCGCAAGGCTTTCACTTTTCTAGGTGAGACTTCTCAGCCTCCCCCAAGCGCCGCACTGTCAGTTCTTGCGCCAAACAGCCATTTATACGCTGTACGGCACTGAGTGTCAGTTTAAGGTGGGGTGGGGTGTAGCTATGGCTGCGAAGGGAGCTCCATCCACACATGCATTGCCTACAGCTGCTTTGCATTGCTTACAGCTTCTTTGCATGTCCTGTAGAGGTGCCGGAACCAGAGTGCCATCACGTTCTGGCTCCCGGCATCTCTACAGGGCACACAAGGGGGTTGTACAAGCAATGCACGTATGGATGGAGCTCCGTCACAGGACCCCAGGCTGAGGATCCACTCCAGTTCTCATAAGGTGGGGATACTGGGTGGATCTTAAAAAAAGATTTAAATATTTTTTTTTGGGAGTGTATGTGTGTGTGAGATTGTGTCTGTGTCTGTGGGTCTGTCAGTGTTTTTCAGGGCCCATTTACACTAGTACAGTGCATCACACAGTCCTGTGCGATTAACGCACTGTACCATGCAATCGCACCTACCGCGCGTTCTGGTGTGGCAGTTGCATTGACATTTATTTAAATGGCACCCCAAATGCACCTCGTGCCCACAGTTCAATCGCCCGCACCGGAACGCACGGTACTGCAGTGCCGTGCGTTCTATTGCACTGCGACTTGGGTAGTAACTTAATAAGGACAAATGTGGGTCCTGAGGTTACACAAGTTGAGAACCACTGATCTAAAATGTCTTTGCATGCTCTTCACTGGAAGCACCTGAGCTCAGTGTGTCCACATAGCCTTGTTTATATAGTGCAGGATTCAGTATTAACAGTGAATGGTTCCTGGATACGGATCGACTCCACGCTCCGGTTTTCAGATTTTCCAATGGCAGAAGAGCAACTCAAACATTTCCATGAGAAGAGCAAAACTATTTGCAATAGATTTTCTTTTGGACATTTCCTTCTTTCCTTTCAAACAATCTTTTAGGTTCTCATGTCTTTTTTAAACGTACCATCTTAAAATGTTTTTTATCCATGAAGCTCTGCCAATGAAAACAATTGTTAGAAAGCAAAGCAGTCGGCTCCTCTGAATACCACGGGGCAATGACGAGCTTGCAAAACAATTCCGGTTTTGGGGAAATCGAGTTCGCGCGGGGCCCCCGAGGTCAGGCATATGCGTGTGTGCACAGGATTTTGCAGTCAGATGCCACAAGGCTCTGATTAAACTCTCTTGTGAATGGGAAATTCAAGAAGAAAGTGATTGCTAGGTCAGCGCACAAAACAGGAAGCTGCCGTCAGCCTCCTCACAGAATAGAAAACATACCGGCGCATAAACCTCTTCACACACACACGCACGCACATCCATGCAGAGACGCTTTCATAGAAAGAAGCTCCGGCCCTGGGACTAAACCGTCCATTGTTGTGGGCTCAGTGACCTTTGACCCCGGTCTCCTAGTCCTATGTCCCCACTAAGCCTCGCTCTGTAGCCGTGATCGATGAATCCTCGTTTGTCAGTGAGAAATTATAAAAGAATGTTATTGTGTCAAGAGTTTCATGTTGTGGCGGGCTGATCACATGTACATGTCAGTATATTTAGGTAATGTATGTTGTATTACCTGAATATTGTTTACTCTGTTTCTTCACAAAATGGAAAACTTAATAAAAATACTTTGAAAGTAAAAAAGAATGTTATTGTGAATCGTTTCTACATCCAGCGTATTATGAACAAGGAAACAAGCTGAGTTTTAAGGATGGACTCCGGACAATGGATCCAGTTCCGTGCTCAGAAAATTAAAAATGACAAATGTCTTAATCAGCCTCCAATGCTGCACAGCCGAGCTCAGACTGGGAGAGTGGCATCAGTCTAAGCCAATCAGGGCCCTGCTGCTTAGCGCATGCTTACAGGAGGGGGCAGGAGAAGGATGACCTCATCAGTATGCCACTGCTGATTCAATTTCCAATAACTGCCTGGGGCGGGTCCTGGCTTCAATGCTTAAAGTGCACCTTTACCCAGGAAATCATCTTTTCTGCCATGAATACTCCAAGTTTTTTGGCTTCATTTTTTTAATGTCCAGCCCCACCCACCACAAAGGGGCCGGAGGGCTGACTGGCTGTATATCAGGGGCAAGCAGCAAGTGCCCCAAAGAGACAGATAGCCCCTGATGTCAGAGTGGAAGATGAGACACGGGACTTGGTTCGTGGCATTGGACTGTAGCAGGAAGATGCTGGGCAGGTGAGTAAGTTTTCTGAAAACACTGCAAATCAGGTAAGACGGGATAGGGGAAAAGAAAAAACAAACATGGTGGGGAAGGGGGCTTCCAGTTTGCCCCCGCAGCATCCCAGAGGACGATGCAGGCATCCTAAGTTACCTATTGCACCGAGTCTGCATTGCACAAGGTTGGACTCCGACTAGGCCCAAATGAGATTATGCAACGTATGGGCGCCCAGTGCTACAACAAAGCAAACATTTGACAAGTGACCTGTATTTAGCTTACCTATAAATACTAGTACATGCAATGCTTCCTTACAACAGGTTCACATTAAGGAAAATGGAAAAACGACTGACGCAGCAAAGAGAAGCACTCCTTGCATCGAGTAGACAAGGACGAGGCTCCTTCCTGCCTCCACGTCATTTGCACTTTTATGGCTGCCGCAATGCAGCTTCTGGGCGGCTTGCAGCTGACAGGAGAAGTGCTCAGAATGCTGATGGAGGAAAACCTCGTCTGAGCAGAAAAGGGATTGATTAAGGTGAAGGGAGATGGTTCGGATGGGCTGACACAGCCAAAGCGGACACATTAAGAAGGTAATGGACAGGACAGACTCTTCCGCTATAAGACTATGTGCATGTGTCATTCCTCACTGTGAAATCTCTCTGCACCGTCCATCTTGAGACTTTTTTTCCCCAAGCAGTGCAAATAAAAAAAAATGACCATAGATTCAGGGAGGATGGCACATTCCCAATCACCCCCAGGCAATACACTTGGGTGGTGGCTACAGGAACGCTCGCCCAGTGCTTTTGATTAAGAGCATGCAGAGGGGAGGCGTGACGCTGTTCCCATCTCGGAGGTGAATCGTGGAATATCGGTGATAAAATTGAAGCCATTATTGTCTCCAACATCGCATAGGGAAGGTGAAGCCAGACTATCAATGGCTTCTGCAATCCTTTCCGTTATGCCCCTTGTGGATGGCGCCGCTATATCCAAATAGAAATCTCATGTCACCAGCACACCAAGGTCAAATGTCCAAATACGTCTACATGGACGTGTGTGCATCTTGTCGCCAATGGGCAACCTTTCAGGGTCCCACAGTATAGTGGTCATACTATGCCCGATGAAGGGACCCTAAATGGCCCGAAACATTGCCCGTTGGTGACAAGATGCACACACGTCAATAAAGACGTATGTGGACATTTGACCTTGGTGTGCTGGTGACGTTTGCTTTCTACTTAGACCATCAATGGCAATGTGTAAACCAAGGACGCTGCTGCCCTTCCTGCTAAAGCATCATTGCTCTCTGCATAGGTCAGCAGCCTGAAGGTGCGCGAGTTGAGGGCTTAGATGCTGACTTTTGAGGAAGTCTAAATTTGCATATTAGTAACCGCTCTATGTAGTCTGCCCATTCTGGGGGAAAGGAGAGAGCCTGACAGGCTGATGCATTATGAAGATAACATGGTATAAATCCTTGCGGAACAGAATGGTTCACTTTAAGACAACGCCGTCACTATACTGAACATTTTCAGCCAAAATATACCTGCAAGTCGTCATCATCATATATACTTCCCTGCTATCCGAGCCGCCAAACACCGGTCCGTTCAGTGGAAACAATCGCTCTAAGTCCACTGGGAAACTGACAAGTCTGTTAGTATCGCTCTACTGGGTCCCCCCTGCTGGCCTCCGTGTCATTACAAGACACAGTACTGATGTGTAGGTCAGCGAGAGCAGCGGGGATACCCAGGAGATCAACAATCCCAAAAGTCTGGTGTAGGTGCCTAAAGGGAGCGGTGTCGTCTCCCCTATGTCATGTGACCGTACTAAAGCACCGCACATTGGCAGGAGGTCACATACGACCCCATACCAGGAAGCAATGAGGATTTGGAGCTGGCTGTGACTTGGGTAAGGAGTGATGGAGGCGCGAGTATAATTTGTTGGTGTTTTTATATCCATCAAATGTAAAGGAAAAGAGTAAAATATGTGGAGCCACCCATGTAAAAGAAGAATACTTACCTGTTGGGTGAGCAGCGGCTCCAACGTTTGTTTTTTGCAGTGCAAAGGTCGTTATGGTCCTTAATGCCGTCACTACAGTGCACTATAGAGACACGGCAAATGGTGGAGTTAACCACAGGCAACATTGGGGGACACACTTGAAAGTAGGGATGCACCGATACCGGTAATTTGGTAATTTTTTTTTGGTAAATTTTTTTTGTTTGTGTGTAAAGACTCGCCACCCAGCTTCATGATCAACAACAAAGTCTGTCCCCTCTTACCTTGTCCAGCCTGTCACCCCCGGGGCCTCTGCAGCCAGAACGTGGCCTTCCTCCGGTACCCAGCCTGAGCCGCCTGGCCGGCCAATCAGGAAGCCAGGCCCTGCGTCATTACTTGGTGCCCAGCTTCCTGATTGGCCCTCTTCCCGACCAATCAGGAAGCCGGGCAGCACGTCATTACACGATGCCCGGCTTACTGATTGACCGGGAAGTCGGCTCCATGCTCTCTCATCACAGGTAGAGAGCATGGAGTCGCTTCATGGCCAATCAGGAAAACGGGCAGCGTGTAATGACGCGCTGCCCGGCTTCCTGATACCGGAAGTACTCGTGCTAGGCATCGGAGCATTTGGGCGAGTACTCGCCCAAATACACGGTATCGGCACCGATATCGATACTAGTATCGGTGCACCCCTACTTGAAAGCATTGGATAGCAGTGGCAGCCCAGCTCTGCAGGAGAGCAAAGATTAGAGTCACTACTTTCAGGACATTTAGGGGTTATTTCTTTTTACCCCCCATGTCAGGGCCATCATCAAACCCTCCCTAAAAACACACTTCAGTTTTACTCCGATACACAAAAGCGCAGCAAAGGCTTTGTGCAATCATGAACACAAAGTCTCTACATGGCTATAAGTAGCACCAAGGACATCTCTCGAAAAAAAAGAGCCAAAACACTGGATATCAGAGTTCCAGCTTCAGCCAAGAAGCCAACCTTGTGACCCAACATGTGCGGCCTTCAAACAAAATTCTTTGCATTATATAACGAGTCAAGCGGTTACGGAGGAGCACACCAACAGCCGCTGCTCTCAGGAAATGCTGATCGGGTTATGAAGAGGAAGGTCTTGCTGTGCGATTCCTCCTCATTCTTCCGTACACAGATCAGCTGGTAGAACGTTTATACGGAGGGGAAGGGCATGGCTGCCGTACAGCGATGCTGCTAATGCATTTTCCACTCCGTCCTACAACTGGCTGCATTTCAGAATGTAGAGTCTGGACACAGGCTGGCAAAAAAAAATAGGGGGGAGGCAAAGGCGCCTAACATGCTGCGGTTCTGAAAACAATGCCAAGTTCCAGAATGTGTGGGATGCCAAGGTAAACGGCTGACCAACACTGAAAACAACCAACTTACTGATGTAGAACTGCTGGCCATCGCAAAAGCCGCTGAATATACCACAGAGCCAATTTACGAAGGTAACAGGCGTGGAAACAGTGTTTTGGACAGGCTGCTAAACGGTTTGAAGAGTCTCACTAAAAAGTAGGGATGCACCGATACCGATAGTAGTATCGGTGCTGATACCAAGTATTTGGGTGAGTACTCACACAAATGCTCCAATACCTTCCCCAATACTGGAACTTCCGGTCAGAGGATTTCCTCTAGCTGGCAGTGCCGTGAGGGAACATGGAGCCGGCCCCCTGCTGATTGGCCAATCGGGCAGCCGGCCCCCTGCTGATTGGCCAATCGGGCAGCCGGCCCCCTGCTGATTGGCCAATCAGCAGGGGGCCGGCTTCCTGATGGCCGGCTCCATGTTCCCTCGCTGCACTGCCGGCCAGAGGAAACAATTTTCTGACCGGAAGATCCGGTATCAGTATGACCCGGTGCACTCTGCTATGACCTAAAGAATGTAAGTTAAAATGGTTTCCACATCTCTAGGACTGTTGGGGCCATGACTTCTCCAAAACCTGTTTCCCAAATCAAGTGGTTGTTACTGTGAAACCGAAGTGGAAGCTTGTTAAAAGGGACAGTCGAGATATAAACATTGCTTCCTGGAGTTCTATATCCCTTTTGCTAGCAAAGACACTTACCACATCATGGTATTGAAAGGTTTAAACTAGCTCACGGCTCAATAGCAGCTGAGGGCTTGTTGTAAAATGTATCCCTGGGCTGTACAGAAGTCATCAGGGCAGCTAGAAAGCAGCCCAATCACATCTACAGGCAATGGAAGTGGAGCCCGATCCCCTCTGTGGCTCTCCAAGAGAAACAGGTCACCCCATTGCTGGTTGTATTACTGACTGCCCACTTCCGTTGCACTTTCCTTAACATGAAGTCAACAGGGTAGAGTGTGACCCAATTTTATTGACCACAGGAAACTCAAGCATAGATATCTCACCACCACTGGCGTTCCTGAGACATTAAACCATTAGGTGGCTTTGCTGTCCAATGGACTTACCAAGGTTCCCTTGTTCAATGGTCAGGACCACCTCGTCCATAAGGAGGTATCTGAAGTCCAGTTCTTCTTCACAGCATTTAGCTTTGAGGGCTCGTTTTATCTCCTGCTGGGGGTAGTCATCTTTTATTCTTCGGTCTGTCAGGAACCAGATGCGACCGGAGCTGCACATCTTCACGAGCCCTGGTATGCAGAGACGGAGGGTCGCCCTAAGACGCGGTCTGAAAAATATTTTTTAAAAAAAAAAGGCTTTTGATTAAAGCTCAGCACGGAAAACCTAAGAGACCTCAAATACGTATATGTATGCTCTGCTGACGAGGACAGGTTAAAAGGAGGACAGGTTAAAAGGAGGACAGGTTAAAAGGAGGACAGGTTAACCCTGGTTGCTGGTACAGGTCTCAATGCCTACGCTTCTTACCACCCGTCCATTTACAATCAGCCTTGGAGTAGCTATTTCTGGCTCACTGCAATGATCAGTTGAAGGTTGGCCATTCCTAATGGACTTTAATAAAGTGATCTGAATGTGAACGTGCTTGTTGAAGGCACAGAGGTTCTCCATCTTGTATGAAAGCATATGTGGTGAGGATGAGATATGCGGCCAATCTCAATCAGGTAGAATTTAGCTGCATGGGAGGATAGTCTGCGTTGTTACTGTGAGTTCAAAAGATGGAAAGATGCCCCATCACTAGGGATGCACCAATACTAGTATCGGTGCCGATACAAGTATTTGGGCGAGTACTCACCCAAATGCTCCGAAACTTACCACCGATCCCGGAAACTTCCGGTCAGAGGGAGATCTCCCTCTGACCAGCCGTGCCGAGGGAGCATGGAACCGGCTTCCTTTCCAATAAGGAAGCCGGGCGGTGGGTTATGATCCGCCTCCCTGACTGGCTAGGACGCCGGCTTCAAGTGTTAAGCAGATTTGCATCATAACCAACCAGGAAGAAATGCGGCACGTCATGACCCGCCAATCGGCTTCCTGATTGGCCTAGGAACAAGTGAAGCCGGCTTCCTAGCCAACCAGGAAGCTGAGAGGTGTGTCATGGCTTCCTGATTGGCTAGGAAGCCAGCTTCACTTGTTGGTAGGCAGCTTGTCTTCATAGCCAATCGGGAAGCCGGGGCGGCACGTCATGACTCGCATCCCGGCTTCCTGATTGGTCAGGAAGCCACGCTACCTAGAAACGAGTGAAGCCGATGGAGGCGGATAATGGCGGAAACAATGACGTGCCATCCAGCTTCATGATTGGCTAGGAAGCCGGCTTCACTTGTTGCTAGGCAGCATGGCTTCCTGACCAATCAGCACCTCATGATTCACCGCCCGGCTTCTTGATTGCCTGTGAGCCTCAGAGGCTGCCTTGCTTCCTGACCAATCAGGAAGCCGGGCGGCAGGTCATGATCCTCTGCCCAACTTCCTGATAATTGGGGCACACGGCAATGGTATTAGGTATCGGAATACCCCCCCCAAAAAAATTATTTGTAGACTGTTCCTGGAATGATATTGGAAAACGCTTAGTGGTGCCCACTGTAATGCTGAGCTCGGCGCTCTCTATATTCCCCATCAGCAATCACAAGTCACTACACGCTATCCAGTAACATGTAACTCAATCCGTAGATGTTATCCGCCATCGATCACCAAGAATGAAGAAAAAAAATCCTGCTCACGTTCTTTGATCTCTTGTTTTATTCTACTCGCTGATCTACCACCATGGCCACATACTAGGGCCAATTAGGATGGAAGGAGAACATGAAGGACGAGCCCCATCAGTGACATTTTAGGAAGTAAAAGAAGAAATTCTTGCCACAAAGAAACCTTTTGCCTTACCAGCGAAGGCCTAGGCAGGCTACATCACATGGTCTATTCCTACCAAGAGCATTGTGGGGGTTACGCATAATTAAAGTCGGGGCTTTCAGAAGCAGATCCTGTTTGGAAGACTTGCAGTAAGAGGTTGATCAGCCATTGTGCAGTACTACCAAAGCAGGAAAGAGTCCGTATAGGTAAACCGTTACCACTTCCATGAACAGGGATCATCTAATACAATGTATTCAGCTGGCCGTACACAGAGATTTCTCTTGTTCAGGCCAGCAGCCATTCCTTGGCCAACATGCACAATGCAGAACCAGAGGCGGACACTTGTCCTCCATTGTACTTGATGATCTCGGAGAGGAACGTGGTGATCAGACCAGTTGGAGACTGACATGAATAGCGTCAACTAATCGATTTACTAGATGACAATATTGAGAATCGTTGTGAACAATTAGTTGACTCCAATTAGTTGATTCCTCATCCCCGCTCCTCTGTTCTCTCTCACTGGGAGCCGCTGCAGTCTGTGTTCCCTTCGGCGCCCAGCAGGGAGTAGAGACCACTGTGCCTTTGCATGCCCGCTACTGTGCTCCGTTCCTGCCCCCTCTTCTGCCAGCTTTAAGAATCCTGCCCAGCGGCTGGGAGCAATAGCCAGCCTCCTATTGGCTATTTTAATTTGCAATAGCAGGCTGCCTGTTGCACCCGCCCACCGGCTGCTGTCAATCAGCAGAGGAGGACCTGAAAGAACTTTCTCCTTCAGTTCCCTCCTCTGCTGATTGACAGCAGCAGTGGGCGGGTGCAATAGGCAGTCTGCTATTGGCTACTGCCATTTAAAATAGCCCAGAGCAGCCTGGCTATTGCTCCCAGCCGCTGCATGCTGTGTTTACATTCTGCTGACTCAGCAGGCACCTGTCATACCCCAGTGAAGTGGAAATGTGACACTAGGTGTCTAACAGACCCTAATGTCACCTTAGAGAACCTGTAGATCGTTGGGAGGAGCCCTCCGCACACCTCACAGCAGTCCCGGCTAATTTAAGGGATGATGGTGCTCGCAGTGATTAGGTTCACGGATGGCGCCGTGCAAATACAGGAAAAGGCAGAGAATCACCAGCACTCAGTAATCAAGAGCAAATATGTCCTTTTATTGGACAAAAGACGCCTTTTGTCCAATAAAAGGACATATTTGCTCTTGATTACTGAGTGCTGGTGATTCTCTGCCTTTACCTTAGAGAACCTGTCACCAATGGGCTATCACATAAGGGGCTTGTGACCTGATGCAAGCAATGGGCTGGCGCTTGGGAGGAGTTATGCAAATATCAATGTCTTGATCGGGTAGATCTCACTCTAGAGGAGCGGGCTTTCCTTTGCAGGCTGTATTTGCATGCAGACGGCTCTAGGCAACACCAACATGCCATGTTGTGCGATATGATTGACAGTACTGAAAGCCAATGAATGAAAGGGGCAGGCAGCCAGGGACAGTCAGGTTGGGGAGGAAAGCCTAGGTGCTGGACATCCTGCAGCCAGGAAATGAGGTGGGCTTTATAACCAATGACCGAAAGGGATGGGCTGCTAGGGACAGTCAGGCTAGAGACAAAAGGTCTAGATGATGAACGTCCTCCAGCCAGGAAATGAGACGGGCTCTGACTTACTGCAGCTTCTAATGCCCATTATGAGAAGCTCACAGTGTGCAGTGAAATCAGAGGAAGCATTTCAGCCTAGGAGAGGAGCCGGTACAACTATGCAAGACTGAAGGGAAGGCCGGAGTTCTGCTTTAAAGGATCCCCCTTCCCCTCTACAAAAGGGACATTCTTCC